ATCAAAATCAGCAAAGCATTTATTTGCGCAAGAAAAATCGGCACAACACTTGGACATCTCTCCTTCCAGGCTCACCATCAAAAATCAGAGCTACATGTTGTTTACGTTTTTACGAGTTGTCCTGTAGTTTATAGTCATTTATTTTGAAACGGAGGGAGTACATTTGAATCTGTGTATCCAGATTTTTTAAAAAATATTCTGCGTTTTTAGCCTTTAGGTACTGTAGTTTTAGAAACATTTTTTTGAGTAACAGAGAAACATTTTTCTTTGAGAAACTTTTTTTTTGGTAGGTACTGTTTGTGGGTAGTGGGCTCGCTCCCGAAAAGAAAAGGAGTTTTGGGCTTCAGCGTCACTCCACATCGTGGCCTGCTGCTGCTTCTCCACCACACACACTTTCCCCATTCCCCATGAGCTGCGAGGAGATGAGCCGCCGCCGCCGCCGCCTTCCACCATCGCCGGCGGCCGCGCCGCCGCTGGAGGACGAGAACCTCCTCCCTGAGATCCTCCTCCGCCTGCCCCCAGATCCGTCCTCCCTCCCTCGCGCCTCCGTCGTCTCCAAGCGTTGGCGACGCCTCATCTCCGACCCCGGCTTCTCCCGCCGCTTCCGCCTCCACCACCGCCGCAACCCTCCTCTCCTCGGATCCTTCAGCCATTTATACTTCGTACCCACCATGGAGGCCCCCAATCGTGTCCCGGATGGCCACTTCTGCTTGCAGGTCGACGAAGACGAGGTCACCGACCACTTCATATGCCTCGGGTGCCGCCATGGCCTCGTGCTCATCTTCCATGTGAGGCGGCTCCAGGTCCTGGTGTGGGACCCCGTCACCGGCGAACTGCATCGCGTTGCCGCTCCCCCGGGATTCGATGCGAAGGAGAGGCCGATTAGCGGGGCGGTGCTTCGCGCTGCTGGAGACATCCAACACTTCCAGGTGGTATTGGTAACCACACAGACAGACGACCAACAGCATACACGAGCGATGGCCAAGGTTTACTCGTCGGGGAGTGGCAACTGGGGTGATATCTTCTCAACACTGCTTCCATCCCAGGCTTCTAGGCACGAAATTCCCACCATGATCGGTATAGAATTTCCTGCTGTCCTAGTTGGGCATTCCCTTTACTGGTTGCTTACTGACAGTCGGGATGACATCCTCAAGTTTGATTTGGATAGGCAGAGCTTAAGTGTGATACATGTGCCAGTGAATATCTATGCTCATGGTAATTGGCAGTTCACGGTTATGCGGGCAGAGGGCGGTGGGCTTGGTGGCCTCTTTCTGTCAAAATTCACTGCCCAATTATGGAAGTGGAAGACCGGTTCTGATGGTGTTGCGTCATGGGTGCTGGGAAAAACCATTGAACTAGACAAGCTCCTTTCCATTAGTTCAAAGAAGAGAGAGCCTCCAATGATACTAGGGTTTGCTGAGGACAATAATGTGGTGTTCCTGTGGACAGATTTGGACGTGTTCATGATCCAGCTTCAGTCATTGCAGTTCAAGAACCTTGGCGAAACTAACATCTTGTCTCGCTATCATCCACTTGGAAGTGTGTATGCTGCAGGTAATAGCATGCATTTACAACACGGGTATAACAAAATCAAGATGTATTTTGTTATTTGATTGATTAAATGCTATTTGCAGAGTTTCGTGCTAAGCTAACAATTTCAAGTAGTGACATAATGCCGCATCACTTGTTTCTTTTGCTGCTTGATGATCTCTGCAACATATAGCAGTGTTGTTCTGTAGTGTTTTCTTTGGTTGTTGATGTGATCTAAACATCTATAGTGGTAGCTAGCCAGTTTTGCTTCTATAGCAAGGTGACTCTACTGTATTGTAATTTCGAGTTCCCTTAGTTGAAGCCGGTGGCAGCTGGGTGACTCTTGAATCCATAATAATGATGACTGGGTTTATTTACCAGCCAGTTCCTTTTTATCACTTTTAGAAGAGTATAATGCTGCAAGTGGCAAGTTCTTTTGTGCCAGAGTTAATAAGTCGAGTTTAGTTAATCTTTTCTGACTAAATTTGTTAAAAAGGTGAATAGTCGGGATCACTTTTATTGCTAGAACTTATTAGTTTGAATATATTTTTATTATGCACAATATGGCATGGATCAGCTAATAGTCTGAGGATGCATATTCTTCATTAGTGACACTAGTGAGTATATACTCTTTTGAGAATATTCTCTCCATTTGATAGTAAATGGGCTTTTGTCTATCTACTCCTATGTTGTATTAAACCTGAATTGTTTTCCTGAAATTATATGTGTGAGTTTATCAAAATATCTCATCGATGCCCCCCCTCATATCTATTTGACTTTTCGTTGGAATGTTGTTGGTTCCCTGACTTAATATGCGTGTAGGCATGGGCATTGGTGGTGGACGTGGTGGAGCTGAACTTCTGCCCAATACATAAGATGATTGGTCCGATAGATATGCTATCGTGATGCATTTGATTGAGCAGGTAATCTTATCTTCAAGTACTAACTGAATGAAACATATTCCTTTTTCGTTGTTACATGGATATATTTATGCTTTACTTTTACTGGTTGCTACATTGCATTTGATATTTTTATGGCTATGGATTTATCGAGAGTGAGTGCAACTTGTTTGTTGTTCCCTCTGCGCAATTAATTGATAACCAACAATACTTAGTACGATTAACTTCCCTTGTAGCAACTGCCATTACACATTTCTGTCCATTTGTGGATCTTTGTAATACCTAGTGTTTGCTTGTAGTTATTGTACAATTATACTAGTCTAGGCCTCTTAGGCAAGTTGGTTATATATTTTCTTAGCATATTTTGTTTTTCACTCTTAACTCACATGTGTAAGCAGATATTAGCTTCTCAACTTTTTTTAAGACACTCCCATATAGTTTTGGACCGTCGATTCTACATGATCCAAGAGTCCACATTCATCATGCCTCATAGGAGGTAATAGTTTATCCACTACCAAGGGAGTAGCAATAATGAATAGGCAGCATATTTCATATGCCATTAAAAACATGACCTATATAGTATAATACGATAATCTTCTCTCATGGAACAAGGCAGTAGTACTCTTTACTTGTTTCTAATAAATTCCAGTGTCTATAATTTATTTTTAGATATAAGCACTAAATATTTGAAGAGTTCTGAACATTAAAAAAATTCTACAAGTTTGAAATTTTATTAATTAAGATATCCACATTATAGTTTTTGTCACCCTCAACTATTAATGGAATTTACATATGAGATAAATGCAATACCTTACACCATTTAAAGGTTTATAGTTATCTTTCTTGAATACGGTTGTAGATAAGCGCTCCCCCTAGGCCAGCCCCAACCAACCCAGTCGTCGGCAAACCCCCGCCGGTAGCCCTCCTCCTCAGCCCCTCCCCTCCCCCCGACCATCCATGGCGTCCCCTCGCGGGAGCTCTGGCGACCTCGACCTCGCCTTCGCCGGTCGTGGCGCTGGCTGGACTTCGAC